TATGTTTAAGCATAAACTGAAACAGTTAATAAGACTTGAAAGGCAGATTTGATTCAGTGTGCAAATTGATGATGCGTGTAAACGATTTTGAATATGAAAGAGGAGTAGACATTAATGCTGCACGACTAAATACTTTTCCTTGCATTCACATGCAGACATACATGTTAGTCTCAAAATGATATATTGTATTAAATCTTGTCTCTTTCATTTTACTTTTATTCTGGCATGTAATAACTCCTCTTGGTCCATAAACAAATCGACACTCAATTTGTCTATAAGTTTACATATAATCAACCCTTTTATATTTTACAGAGACTGGAACATCCTTATTATTATTATTATTATTATTTTATTATCATTACAGCATATTTATAGTGCACCCTTTCATATAACATGTTCAGAGGCACTTTACAAAGTGACAATGTAAATCACACATAAACAACAAGATTATGGGCATGTTAACGATTGTATACAGAGTCAGTTAAAAGCCTGATTAAATAAATGTGTTTTAAGTTGTTTTTGAAAAGAATACAGAGATGTACAACATCTTAAACTAAATGGTAGATTATTCCATAAAACAGGTGCTTGATAACTAAAAGAGCGCTGACCATAGGAGACTAGTTGAACAGTTTTGGGCTTTAAAAGTAGTTTATCTGATGTACGTAATGTTCGGCCAGGTGTATAAAGTTCTAAAAGATCTGAGAGGTAAACAGGAGCTAAATTATTTAAACATTTAAAAGTAAGTAATAAAATCTTAAAATCAATTCGATACCAGTGTAAATTATATAAAACAGGAGTTATGTGGTCACATTTCTTAGTTAAAGTAACAAGTCTAGCCGCAGTATTCTGTACTTTAAGTAATTTATCTATAAGCTTTAAAGGTAAACCAACTAAAAGTGAATTAAAGTTATCTAATCGAGAAGTGACCAGAGAATTAACAAGTGACTTAGTGGCCTCTACAGTTACAGTTACGTATTTTACCTATATTTCTAATATTAAAATAGCACAATTTACAAATATTATTTACTTGAGCTCCCATAAGCATAAAACTATCAAAGATAGCACCAATATTACGAGCAGAATAAGATGAAAATATATCACAATTACCAATTACAACAGGGGGGTTATCTTGTGCAGATTTACTTAATTGATGCCTTGGGCCTAATAACAAATATTCGGTTTTATCATCATTCAATTTTAGAAAGTTCTTTGACATCCATTTTCTAATTTCACTAATACAGTTCTCAAGTTTGAATTTTGATAAATTGAAAGAAGATGGACAATTAGGTGTAAATGAAATATATAATTGAGTATCATCGGCATACAAATGAAAGCTGAGACCACATTTTCTGACAATATCTCCTAATGGTGACGTATAGAGGGTAAATAAAATCGGACCAAGAACAGAACCTTGGGGAACCCCAGATGACAAAACAGATTCAGACGACGATTGGCAATTAACTAAAATACACTGTTTTCTACCCACAAGATAGCTCTCTAAAAGATTTAATGCAGAGCCACAAATACCGAATTTAAATTGAAGTCTACGTAGAAGAATGGAAGAGTCCACCGTGTCGAGAGCAGCAGATAAATCTAATAAAATTAAAAATGTACATTTTCTATTATCAATTTCCATTAAAATATCATTTGAAACCCGGGTTAAAGCTGTTTCGGTACTGTGAAATTGTTTATAAGCACTTTGAAATGGTTCATACAAACAGTTATCATCTAGATGGGCCTTTATCTGAGAAGCAATACATTTCTCCAATATTTTAGAAATAAAACTTAAGTTAGAGACTGGCCTGTAATTTTTAAAAACATTAGGATCCAGTGTAGACTTTTTAATTAAAGGGGTAACATAAGCTCGTTTGAAAACGTTGGGAATAGTAGCGGATGATATACAGGAATTAATAATATTGGTAAAAACTGGAATAACTTCGTCTAGACAGTCCTTAAGAACAGAAGTCGGAACAGGATCTAATGAACAAGATTTAGGAGCAGACGATTTAATTAGCTTTAAAATAAAAGATTCACTAACCAAGTTAAAATTTTCTAAATAAACAGAATTTTCTAACTTATCAAAATCATGAGCGTTAAAGTCAATAGTTTTATTTAAATCATCAAGTTCAGTTCGTATTTTCTTTATTTTTATTTGAAAGAAATCAGAGAATAAATTTGCAAGTTCAGTGTCATTATCATTGTCCGGGAGGATAGTACGCTAAGCATTATGGTCCAAAAGGGAATTCACAACTTTATACAGGTCTTTTTGTCTGTTTTCGCCATTTTCTATTTTATCAGAGTAAAATTTAATTTTAGCATCATCAATTAATTTATTCACATTGTTTTTTTTAAAGATTTATAAATCTGTTTATGGACATGTAGATTTGTTTTCCGCCACAGATGTTCAACCTTATTACGGTCCCTTTTGGCTTCTAAAATAGAATGATTAAACCACTGCGTATTGGGACGAAGTATTAGAGAAGTATTTAGCAAATAATGATACGAAAGAATGAATTTAGTAAATAATGATACCAAAGAATGAATTTAGTAAATAATGATACCAAAGAATGAATTTAGTAAATAATGATACCGACGAAAGAAGAAAACCTTACATGCTCAATATAAAGACATTAGTGTCTTTTATAAATCTAAAATTAAGAATCTGATTGTAGAAACTTAAATGTTATTTGTCGCTATTGCTTTCTTTGATTGCTTTTGTTGTTTTTAATGGTAATTATAATCCCCCCTGTAGACAATCGTTTACTATATTGACCAGAGTGTACTACTAAATGCCACGAATTTCAAGGGCCAACGTTAGTCGTTCGGTTGGGACGAAAATTCGAGGTCCCGTGTACACGTTAAAGAACCCCTCACATATAAGTCGGAGCAGAACAATAGAAAATTAAACACCATTTCATTTCATTTTAAAATGTACGAGAAATCTATCAAGAACTCTGACCAATATAGTCTTAACACCATATAATATAGAAGAATACCAAACCAACGAACGACAGACACAGGAGATGACAATATATGTCCATATTAAATGTTGAAAAATAAAAACATAACTATTTGTACTATAAATATATTTGTTTTAAGAAAAAGATTGTAAAAGTACATTATATGTGGAATATTATGTCAAAAATACATAAAAAGTGCCTAAAACGTAATAAAGGAATAAAACAGAAATACTTAAAGGGGAAATATGGGAGATTACATAAAGAGTTGACAGTTCTCACTATTATAGTCAAATTAATTGCTTCACCAAGATAATAGCTTTTGAATATTGGGTTAGTCTCGATCGTCATTACTAAAGTCGGTACGATAATAAACAAAGTTTCGATTATCCATTTTTACCTTTAATCACCCTTCACAAAATATATTCCAATCCGCTAAATATGGCAGACTAGCGATGGCATCGAGAGTTGATCATGGTCTGGATAAGTTAATTAATGTCAAATTAATAATTTAGATAAAATTGCAGACCTAAAGAAAGACGCGCAATAGGCAGACTTGGCCCTTGCATAAGTATGTTTAAACAAACGGTATAAATACGGTAGTTATTTTTACTCGGTCTAGTATGTTATTTCGTTATGCTGGACGATTGTTTAAAAAGATAAATCCCTTATAACAAAGCTTGGTAATTAATGACAGTCTGATCACTGTTTATGCTTTTAAACATGAATTCAATTCACTACGGTCATTCCATCTACACAGTCCATAGCCTATCGACAGTGAATTTGAACATCATGTTATTTTAAAGTGACATTCTTATATATACAAAAACTTTTTTTTATTGTTTTTACCCTTCGTTTTATTACCCCTTCATAATTTTATAAATAATCATAATTAACTCAACTTGTCCATAATATCATGTATAATATATTGGACGTTAAATTTAAATTACACAACAAAATCAACAACATCGTCGAGACGATCTGCTCCAAAATATTATATGGTGGTGCCAAAAGACCTCCAGTAAAAAAATAGCACTAGCTTGATACAAGGCTATTCAGACAACTCGGCCCAAAGACCACTCCGACCAAGACCACTCGGGCCAATAAAAGATAACTCGGACCAAGATTAGAAGACCACTTGGACTAATATTAGAAGAATTTAATAAAAGCTATATTTGTTACAATCCGTGCAGTTGCGAATCTCTAATATTGTATAGCTTTCTACTTAAAGTAATTAAAAAATAGACTGTAGTTTTCTTTACACCACTGTTCTCTGATTGATTCTGGATAAGCGACAAAATACGACAGCAAATGCCACGGCACAACGAGAACAGCACGTTATTCTGTCAAAAATACATAAAAATAACACAATAAAGCTTTAAAAAATGTATAAAAGACATAAAACTGAATAATAACAAATTCTTTAATAAACACTTATATATAAATATTGAGCCGGTTGTTTAAAGGTGCATTATGTAAGAGCTACATCTGCCTATTGCAGGTCTTGTTTGGGCTTCAAATGTTATATAAACTATTATTTAGACATTTATTCGCATGACAAGCCCATAGTCAACTCTCTAGTTCATCGGGTGGCTCTGATTTTTAGTAGAATAGGCCACTCCGGCCATTTAATGATTTAAAGTCTCGAATAACAAGTACCGTTATTGAGATAATAACAATTTTGCAACGCCTTGTCAAAACTTCAAATAGTGATAATTTCGCACAGAATATTCATTTATTATTATCTATCTTTGAACTATTATCTGTAGAAACATGGATCGTATATAGATGGACAGGCAACGAAGTCCCTTTGGTCCGATTCTCTGCCGCTCGTGCGAGATCTCAAATGTCAACGGTAAACAAAGCGACATTACGGGATTTTACACAGATTAATTTCTCAAACTCCTCCTTAGAATTTACGATATTCTTTTGCTTTCAAGGTAATTTTTTTTACTACGATAAGTATTTCTGTCCGGTAGTGACGAATTTTTCCAATTTAGAACTTTGATATTTTCAAATGCAGCAGTTTTCGTAAGTATTTTGATTTTTCTTAATAATCAAAATTCCCGTATGTATGAAACATTTTGAAAATATGAAAATGAAGTTCTAATATACTATTGTCCGGAATGATGATTAATTGTGCAGAAGTAAAAATTAAAAGAATGTTTTTTAACTGTGTTTTATATACGGTCCATGGTAGAACTGTCATCTCTTTATCTAAATCTTACATATGCATCTTTAACTGGGTAACTTATCACTGAAAAACATGCGAGCACTCGAAGTCTGTATTCCTACGAAAGATTAGCATCAAACTTCCGATATTTGTACAGGACTAGGATACAGGTTTCTAAGAATACTTAACGTATAATCTGGGGTTGATTCACTAAAATGTTATAAGGCATGGCTCCCTTAAAGCTGCATTACCACTATCATAACTAAGATCCCCAAAAAAGTCAAATCCTCTATTATATTCCTAGGGCAGTATTTTCCCCGTGCAGTGACACCGCCGGCTTTTTGATTTCCAAGAATTAATGATATTATTGGTTACCCTAACAACAACATATACGATTAAAAATAGAAGTTGGATCTTCACATGGTGGAATTTGTTTCCCAGCCAAAGACAGGAAAACTTGTTCTAAAGTTGTCTGATGAACAAAATAATCCTCTACTGAATATACGCCTTTCGATTCCTCCATTACATCAAATACACCTGCTAAAGGTATTCTGTTGGATAAACTGTACCAATGGACCAATGGGTGCGGTCAATCCATCATCTTCGTTGGTTTTCATTCTACAGATCAAAGTGTAGCCCTGACCGAATTTATTCTTTAAATGTTGTGGACTTCCTAAACACTTGAAACTTCCATTAACCATGATGGCTACTCTTGTACACAGAGCATCACATTCCTCCATGCTGTAGAATAAACGAGGTTTAATTAGCCACATCAACTACAAGAGAACATCGGTGACTTGTAAGCAACCCCCCCCCCCGCCCCCACTCACCTCCCCTCCTCCGACACACCCACCAAAAGCAATACTGGTTTAGAATAGGCAACCGAACCTTTATTAGCGAGAAGGTGTGTGGGGGCGAATGGTTAACGCGTCATTGGGTTTTCTCCGGTTTACTCCCACTGCTAAAGACTCATACGCGGAAGCGAATTATTGAAATAAGATGGAACCATATGTTAGTCCCGAAAAAAACTAGTTTGTGCCGAGTGGATGTTAAACGCCATTTCTCCTTCTCTTATTAGCGATAAAAAAAAGGGCAAGACAGCCTCATTAAGGCAAGTGCACATGGTGTGTTTTCGACCCGAAGCTGGTACGTGATAAGGAGCAGGGTCGCCTGTCCAACGTCATATGCCCGACAACCCCCCGCGCCACTGCAAGAGTCAAACGCAATTACTAAGATAAAATCTTTAACCATATCTAGTCCCGAACTGATCTACATTATTCTTATTAAACGTTAAACCCCATTCCCCTCTCTATTTCAAATGGCTTGACAACAAGGCATCTTGATTTCACTATCTTGAATTTATACACGTGTACTGATCGTGAATTGATTACGTACCTGTGTGACGTGAGTATCAGTGTTTTCCCCACTGGCTCTGACTTTAGATAAAACATTCCAGAGTTGACGTCTGGCCTTGGGATCAACACCAGTTGAAGGTTCGTCCAGTAGAATAAATCCTGGGTCACCAATTAAAGCAATAGCTGTACTGAGTTTACGTTTATTTCCACCACTGTAATATAATCATGTATTAATTTAGAAAATAGATATACATATTTTAAATCTATATCTATCTATATATATATTTGTGACTGTCGTTTGTCTGTCTGTCTGTCTGTCTGTCTGTTCGGGGTTGGCGGCTACACTAGGTCTGCCCCGAGTCTGAAATTTGGGGTATAGGGGTACCGCGGACCGGGGAGTAACATAGGCCAGGTGGCGTTAGTCTACCACTTCAGGTTTCGGAGTTATGACACCCGAGCGAAGCCGGGTATCCTGCTAGTATGGACATAAACACAATATACATATCTGGTGATTAAATATCTGTGGGATAGATCGGGTTTAACATCTTACGTTTTTCCATAATGGTTCAGCGAGAAGGACAAGTGAGAAAGAAAAATGGGGTTTAACGTCCACTCGACACAAACTAGGTCATTTAGGGACTAAAATATTGTTCAATGGAAGGAAACCGGGGGACCCAGAGAAAACCCACGAAGTTGGACAGGCAGGTTCCGAGTTTAACTCAGTTAAAAGACTTAAAAAATTAGAGAGATTCGGAAATTGGTCAATTGCTTATTTAAATAAAATTAAATATACAAAGATACACTATAACAATTGTAACAAAAACATTTCTTTTAACGTTAGCAGAGCACCTCTGTAAATATTCAAAATCGTACCCCTGCCCGCAAAATGCCACTCAAAACTATAATCCTCTCCATTTAATTAGTTGTCATACCGCACATTGTTTCTATATAACAACCTACCTATATGCTCGTGTTAATTTATTAGCATGTTGCGTCAACATCAATATGTCAATCAAACTATTAACCACGCCCTTTAGTTGGATTTCGGGTATCCCTTTCAGTCTTCCATACATATATAATGTTTCTACTCCAGTCATATGATCTATCAAAGCATCAAATTGTGGACAGTAGCCCATATTTTCTTGTACCTATTATAAATAAAAGCATTATTAGTTGTAGCCACACCAAAGGCTAATTTTGCTATATGAACAAAGCCCAGCTTAATCGGAGCGGGGCCCTAGGCCTGACTAGAATTGCGGGACCCCTAACGCGACGAAAAGATTATTTCATATTCTTTTGAATGACACGCATGCGTAACACACAATTAAACGGTCTGCAATACAAGAATAATTACATAATATACTGAGCGCCATGGAAAACGCATCACTTTTTTTTCTCAAATATTTTATTACTAGGTGGTTTTGTATGTATAATATTATGCGATACTATGAACTATTGTTTCTCACAATGCTCCTAAACGCAAAAAATATCGGCCCGTGTGCAAAAAAAAATTGCACGAGATGCACATGGAAAACCCAATATTCACGTGCAGCATTGTATGTGAGCCATTTAAAAGCATGTTTTGAACTTAATGTGCAGTACATGAACTTGAAACGTCAATCTGTCGTAATTTGTTGTTGGACGTGTGAAGGAATCGAACTAGAGATGCCGAGACTTACTGAAAATCAACGAAATGAAGCCATGGAAATGTCCCGGGCTGGCATGTCTACACGTGCTATTGCCAGACACTTCAATTGTCATCAGTCCACTATCGTAAGGTTGGTGGAACGTGTTCGAGTTACTGGATCAACACGTGACCGTCAACGTCCTGGTCCATAACGCGTTACAACCCAGGCTCAAGACCGCTACATCCGGGTCACTCATCTGCGTGACAGATTCCGCACAGCGACTCGAACAGGTGCAGCAGTCGTCGCGGTCCACTTCTGAAATTGCTTGTGGGTATCTGATGAGGATGAGGTTGTGCAGGACACAGGCGCACATGCTGATCAGGTTGATAGTGTCGGGGTGCTGATGCATCGTCGTCAAGAAGCAACGGAACCTTTGAGACAAAATTCCAAAGTAATTCTCCACGACACGTCGGGCACGAGACAACCTGTAGCTATAAATGCGTTCTCGTAGGACCTGTGACCGATGGGAGAATGGTTTCATCATCCAGGTTCGGAGAGCAAAGGCGTCATCCTCTACGAAGTGATAGGGCACTGGGTGGTCATCATTAGGGAGTAGTTATGGTTGAGGCACTCCAGCTCTGTTCTCTTCTACAGCATCATGCAGGGAACAGTTACTCCATGTTCCTCCATCCGACGCACCACCCTCTGCCCCAACATCCACATAGAGGAACTTGTAGGTAGCATCTGCCACTGCCATCAGAACAATGCTGTGGAAGCCCCTGTAGTTTTGGGGCAGCGCAGCACTTCGTCCTTGTAGACCGCGATGATGGCTTTACACACCTCGGGTATGAACTTTCAGATGGTACTTGCTTCAACCCTGAAGCTGTACTGCAAACTTGGATAGGAATTTCCAGTGGCTAGGAAGCGGAGGGTGACAGCTAGCTTGAGTCCAACTTGAAGCGGTTCCCTCATGAAGGTGGACTGCTTCTGGAGGCGAGGGGTTAACTTCTCAACCATCTCTTGGAACAGGTCAGGTGTGATTCTGAGGTATTTTTTTTTGTAGCCTCTTTGATCTTCCTTGTGGAGTTCAGTCAGTAAACTGTCATACTGTCCAAACTCTTGCCTTCTGGTCAACCATTCCCTGACCCACACTTTCCTTTGTGTCTTTCTTCAAGGTTGGGTTGCCTTTTCTTGCTCTTCTGCCTCTTCCAGCCTTTTTTGCCGCTCTTGAACAATGGCTAGAGCAGCTGCCAGGTATAGGCATCTTCTCTTCCCTGCAATGATTGTGTCTCTGACATTCAGCATGTTGTCTCTTCCACAGCCAATCCAAAAATGACCAGGGGTTGGGGAGGCCCCCTTTTTATATGGCGTGCCCAAGCCCACGACACCGTCCGAATTGCGTAAACTCGTCGTGCCAATGCGGGAAGTGCGTAGATAATGCGCAAACTATGCGTGAATTCGTCGTGCCAGTTCGTGTTAATGTGGACACTGATGGGCACGCATTCGTGAACTCGTGGTGAACTATGCGTGAACAGTGCGGGAGCCTCCCAGTTCGTGCCCCAAAATGGCACGACTTGCCACGACAAAATCGTGGTCAAAAGTCGTGCAAGTGTCAGCCTGGCCTAAGGCATGGGCCTTAGGGGCCCAGGACAAGGGGCCCGCAGATTAGGGGGGCCCGCGGTTCATGGCAAAAAGGGAAAAAAATTTAAATGCCACGCACTGGCACGCATCCTCCCGCATCGTCCCGACGAGTTCACGAACAGTTTGCGCGTAGTTCACGACCCGGTCGCTAAATTTTGTCGTGACCAAAATTTTGAACATTTCAAAATTCTCGTCCCGACATGGCACGCAGTCACGACGGGTTTACGCACACTTCGCGCCAATGCGTGCCACGGAATCGTGCAAGTGTCAGCCTTGCTTGCTGGGCTTTATATACGAATATTCAAGTACTGAAGGTCTTCTCCCGGTGTTTGAGCCCCGTTCACTCTTTTCGCATTGTAGGCAGTTGACCGAAAGTGTTATTTCTTTGCGTACGGAGCTGGGCGAAACTATTCCTAGGGCATTAACGGGGTGACATTTTAATGTAGGCCTTAGGCAGAGAAAACGACCCATTTGTGTCATTCAACGCTGAAGCACTATCAACCATTTATGATCGGAATCAGCGTTCATGATTGCAACAGACTCATAGAAAGCACCTGGTTGTTCTAGTTATAGGTCTACTTATATTTAGAAGGGAGCAGCGGTGACCCACCGAGTAAGGTACTGGCCCACTAACCAGGCGGTCCCGGGTTAGATCCCGGGTATGACTCGATTTTTAGCTACCTCTGAACGACTAAGCCCTCTTTCATCAGGAAATTTGAAAAACTTTCTCAGCCAACACTGTATCGAACCCGTGACACACCGGTTACGGAGTCAGCGCCATACTGACAGTGTGGACGGTAATAAGGGTTTATAGTAGTTAACATTGTGCATAAAGTTCTATGATATTATTTTTGTTATATAGCTAACCTTTTGAATACTTGATTTGATGTCGCTTGATTTCAAATAGGCGTTGCCACTGGTAACCATTACATCGCCCGTCAACATTTTAAAAGTTGTTGTTTTTCCCGCACCATTTTGCCCAAGAAGACCGAAACATTCTTTATCTGGTATGCCAACACTAATATGATCCACAGCCACAAAATTTCCATATCCTTTATAGAGATCGTTTAATATGAAAGAATCGGTGGGTCGATCCATATCCATATTTTGAATACGCCCAGCCTCGCTTGCTACGTCACTGTCTGTTTTTTGTCCACCGTGATATAAGAAGCCGAGATTTGCTGGTTCAGTGCTTTCTTGTTCGGGCCTAATAGAGTACCAAATCCTCTGTGGTACCCGACCTTCTATGCATAATGTGATGGTAGAAAATAATACAGATTGAATTGCCATGAAGAGAATGTACATTCCTATACCTGGACGATTCATGGAGAGATAACATACATGATCAAATCATTAATTTAAAAATATTGCGTTCGTATATAAAATGTTCAAACTGGAATTTAGATACAAAAATCATTAATAATTGTCCTATACGCCATTCTAACAGTGAATTCTAACTACGGGTGGACCCTGGATTTTCTACACCAACCAAGTACTGAAGTAGGCTATATGCAATTTTTTCTACGAGGATAATTTTGACTGGACAGCGGCGTTACCGCCTACTCTAATTTAAGCCTTGTACTTACCTTCGCTTTCTCTTTTAATTTTTATTAAAATATTGATCTTTTAAATTAGTGCAATGTACACAATTATTCCTATACAGTAAATTTGTTAAATTGTTTTAGAAATTTATGGAACTAATTAATAAAGAGTGTAGAGAAATGAATGGGTTTTTTTAACAATAAAAGTGAACAGAAATCAATAGCCCGCAGAATTATATGTAGCCTACCGGGGGTGGTATTTTTTACCGCCGACCACCGCCGACTACCGCCGACCAATACTTTTACCGCCGACCTTCGTGAAATTACCGCCGACCAAATTCTTTTTTACCGCCGACCGCATTGTAATGACTTTCGACCGTAATATGATTACCGCCGACCAAATACTTGTTACCGCCGACCAAATACTTGTTACCGCCGACCAAATGCTTAATGATTCCTTGTTACCGCCGACTATATAAAATTAATGAAATCATTAGTGACAAATAAATAGATTTGGTTAAATACACAGAGTTTGATAAAAATATAGATTTTATTATATATAAATATGGTCGACAACCCTAACCCTAACCCTCGCACTAATAGAAGATAGGCCTAAAATGTTATTTATTTATAACCAGTAGCTGAAACAATGTTGATATTTTTTTTTATTTGCCCTTCAATATCTAAATTGTAGTTTTGTCCTTCCATATTCTTTAAAATATATATGAATGTTTTTTCGACAGTTGTACGTGATTACACCGCAAATAAAAAATAACATTCTTGTTGTATTCTTTTTTATAAAAAAAATAATAAAAAAAAACAACCGTAAAATAGTCGGAGGTAACAAGGAATCATTAAGCGTGGTTCCCCCTTGTCAGTGATGCAGGACGGAGGGCCTGACAAGGGCAGCTGTCTAGTCCTTCGGATGAGACGAAAAAACCGAGGTCCCGTGTATACATTGGAATGCATGTTAAAGATCCCTTGGCAGTTGGAATTTGCTCCCCGGGCAAAATTTCCCTCATAGCACACTGTATGGCGTATGCCCGTCTTCATTAGCCCAGTTTAGGAGCAGAACAGTAGGACGTTAAACCCCATTTCGTTTCATTTCATTTCGAATCATTCAGCATTTGGTCGGAGGTAACAAGTATTTGGTCGGCGGTAATTATATTACGGTCGAAAGTCATTACAATGCGGTCGGCGGTAAAAAGTATTTGGTCGGCGGTAATTACACGACGGTCGGCGGTAAAAAGCATGTAGTCGGCGGTAAAAAGTACCACCGCCCTACCGGTATTTTTATTTATTTGTTAATTATTTTATTTTAGGAAATTAGGGAATGAAAAGTGAAGAAAAATTAATAGCCTGTGTAAAATGTTGTATTTCTATTGACCGGTATTAATTTATTTGTTAATTATTTTTAGAAATTTGTGGAACTGAAAAAGTGAAGAGAAATTAATGGCCTGTAGAGAAATGAATAATTTTAGAACAACAACAACAATAAAGGAAATGTGTTTCCAGAATGAAAAAAATATTTATGAAATGAAATGGGGTTTAACGTCCACTCGACACAAACTAGGTCATTTCGGGACTAACATATGGCATATGGTGGGCAATTCCACGCTAAAGTAATACAATTAGGTGAAAAATTTATTTAGTTGATAAGTGGACAAAAAGAGTGTCTTATGGTGGGAAATAATCCATATTTTGAAGAAAAATCTCAATTTGGGTGGAGACTCTTCCAATTTTTTTTAATTTGGTCTTGTGTCAAGGTTTACGTTGTAAATGTCGAATTTATAATTCTATTGTATTTTCTTACTTTGTGTTTGTTTGATTATTCTGGCTCATAATGAATGATTTGGCATTAATTAATTATCTGACAATGTATATAAACATAATATTTAAACATTAAAATATAAAAGTAATATATTTTTGTGAAGGTATTAGGTAACCAACATTGAAAAATATCACTATGAGAATGTACGTCCGTTACCAAATATTTACATTTTTTTTTCTCTCATTCATATTTTTATATGGAATTATTTAAAACTTCATATCTAAAGCTATAATAACCCATTCTTACTATAATGACTGTAAAAAGAAAAGATTTGCAAAATTTCTCAGAATAACTTGGGTTTTCATAGATGTACGTCCGTTACTTTTCACAGTATTTCATGTTACCAAATATTTCCATTTTATCTCTCTTATTCATATTTATTGATGGAACTGTTCAAAAACTCATATTTAAAGCTAATAACATCATTCATTCTTGTTACTATGACCGTAAAAAGAAATCATTTTCCAAAATTCTCTGAATTTTTTAGGGTTTCATAGATGTATGTACGTCCGTTACCAAAATTTTAGGGTAAAAATGTACGTCCGTAGCCAAAATTTTAGGGTCACAATATTTCATTCAAGGAGTAATGTTTTTAGGAAAGTAACTGCCCCATTAATTCAAATGAGTTAACTATTATTATTATCTATAAGTCCGATTATTTGTAAGTTTACATATCTAATGTAATGGGTACATCCGTTACCAGAAAATATGTACGTCCGTTACCACAATAATTTCTAATTTACTGGGTTACAAGAATCCAAATGTGAGAAGTGATTATGCAGTACACATGTAGTATTAGTGCCCTTTCTTAAAAGGATTAAAACTTTTAAATTCCACAAGACAATTCACAGAGTTTTGAAACTATGTTCATGCAGGCAAATCATGGTGACTGTTCATTTCTGTATGTCCGTTACCTATACTTTGAAGAGCCAATATTTATTTCCAGTGTTCATGAACAAATTAAATTATATGTCAATTGATACTGTAATCATATGTCTTTAATGCTATATAAAACTCAAACAGTTAATTATTCATAGTTAGAAAATATTGGAAGTAATAAAAATATGGCGAGTTCAAAATGTACGTCCGTTACCGTGGAATTGCCCTGGTTTAATTTTTTTATTTCAATAATTCGCTTGCGCGTAGGGGTCTTTAGCAGTGAGAGTAAACCGGAGGACCTGGAGAAAACCCACGAGGTTGGACAGGCCTTGTCACGTACAACCGGGGAATCGAAACCCCGCCAGTTGACTCTATGACACATAGGCCTACGAGTTGGAAGATATGGTGGCTGTATAATTTAATATTATATTTTTTTAAAAAAAGGTGTTAAATGTGTCAAATTGTGTGCGGGGGAGGGGGGTGTATAGGCGCCCAGGGCCTAGTTGTGTGAGGTTGCGGTTGAGTAATGAGTGTTTGTTTTCGGGGAGCATTGCAGAGACAGCGTCTCGTTCGGATGGGACGAAAACCCGAGGCCCCGTGTAGGCCTACACCTTGGCGTGCACGTAAAGAACCCTGCTGTCCGGGCAAAATTCCCCTTAGAGCACACTGTATGGTGTATGACCGTCTTCATTATCCCGCTAGGACGTTAAACCCCATTTCATTCTTCATTAGGCTAATTTGTTTGTTTTCGCTTGTTCAGCTGAACTTGTTTGTGTTTAGAAAAATATTATGACATGAAAATTTATTATTATCTTAAGTTTCTTATAAAGATTTAGTAGTTAAAAAGGGTTTCTTTTATTTTAAAATGACTTTTAGATTAGGTCTTCACATCAAATTAATGACATTAATTCGATTGTTATTGAGTAGGCCTATTGTCATTGACGTTTACATTGGAATGAGCTTGACCCTAACCCAGTGCTAGAAGTAGAAGAATGGACCGATTTTTGATAGGTACAGTTGATAAATCAATCTAACCTGTGAAACGCTATTCCACTATCCTTTTTCGGGTGTTTGAGCAGCCAAAACAGCAGCAACTTTCTGGCATATTGATTATAAAACACGATTTAAAAGATCTAATGGTCGTCACTGTCGTAAGCGTCAACTCCCCGGAACTAACATGGCGGACAAGGCTCCATGTCAGCACGCTGTCACGTGATCAGTGCGGACTCTAATTTCCGGAAATTATTGAAATTAAATACGATTCTTCATCTCACTTATGTAAACAACATATCAATTTCAAAACAATCAGATGATAATGCAGTCTGTAGAATGTTCACAAGAAATTGTGGACGACGGGTGGGGCGACGGGGGCGACGACAATATGTGGGCGTATAAAAATGTTGGTGGCGGGTCCATATCTGCAATGTATTGCACACAATGGTTTGATACTTACATTTCGTTGGGGATATCTCATAATTAACGGAGTTTACGACACTGTTCATAATATCATCAATTAAGGAGTTATTTGGTGTGTAAATGAAAGTTTTAACATAATTTCTGACGTAATAGCCATGTCTATTGAGTTGACCATCTAAGTATACTTTAGCAGGGTACTTTCTGTTAACAGGTACACTTGCACGGATAACCATTAGTAACGCAACAAGAAGAAGAGAACATAAAACCTCGAACACAGACGCACAGATTTTCCTTCTTTGTATTAAAAAATTCTTCCATAACAAAATACCAACTTGTCTGAAAAATGTCGCCATTTTGGATCGCTTTTTTTCCCCCGCACACTCAAAATTCGTATTATTTTTTTGTATCTTGTGGTTTTATATTGTTTTCAACATAAACGTATTAAAAAGTTAAATGTTTGATCAGTTATGACGTCGAACACACCTCAGTAAAATCGCTGAACCGTAATTTGAAATATACCGGAGGAAAATCACCGAACAGTAATATCGAACACACCAATTAACAGTTAAATTGTATAACCGTAATATCGAACACACTGACAATGAAACTATTCAGTTGTAATGACGAATACACCAACAGTTAAATTGT